TCAGAGGTGGATCCTTTTTATCATCGTTTTTTCTTGTTCCTCCTCTTTCCCGGAACAAGCTCTGCAGCCCTAATCGCTTTCCCCTTAGGGAGCTGTGACCCAGATGGGCAAGATTTAAACCCAACAGTTGTGCTCACTGAAATATATACGGGTTCTTTTAGTTTCACCTTCGTTTCCACACCAAAGCCTGGTCCCATACAAATGCTCTTTCAAATAAAGCAATAGACTATAGAATCCTGCTTGGTTTTGCTGTTTCCCTGAGCACAAGCATCTTCAAGCACACTCTCTTGAACTGAAAATGAAGACTTTATGAAAAATATAAAGCCGTGATTCAGTTTTTGTAAATCTCTGTTTTTTCAATGCACAGAGTGATATTTCTGTTGCTAATAAATGCTGACAGCGCTGGAAGTCTTGATGAACCGCAGCATGCTTCAAAAGATAGATCCATTGGCAGTGTGGTTATTTAAATTCAATGTGAGTTTGCAGGAGGTCCAGCTGTTTAATGTCACTGAATAGAGCCAGGCTGCTGTGTGCTACCTGATAAAATAATTGTTTCATGTTTTCCAGGAAAGAAAAGGGAGAAAAAATTATTCTAATGGAATCCCCATAGAATATTTTTTTATGGTTTTCAAGGCTAAGCTACTTGCTGCTCCAGGCCCTGAACTTGTAGAAATTAAACCTTTTCTCCTCTTCTTTTTTTTTTTTTTCCTCAGGAAGAGATCTGTCCTAGAGTGGAAGGTGAAGGCACTCAGTCCTGCCTCTGGGCTTCGGCGGTCAATGTCAGAGACAAGTACATTTATGTGACACAGCCTAAGCAGAATAGAGTAATGATAATAGATATCCAGACTCAGAAAGCCATGCAGGTACTTACAAGGGGAATACGTTATTCAGTGATGATAAAAGACTTTGATAGGGGACAAGAAAAAGTAGATCTTTGCCCAGTGGATCTGCTGACATCACTAAAAAGTTGGGCCTGCGTTGCTTTCACCCATGGGGTCATGTTATTCGTAACCTCGCTGGCAGGAAAAAAACTCCTTTACAGGCTGTTTATCATCATCTTGGGGCTGCATTTGCAGCCAGACTTGCAGCTAGCTTGGTGAATTAATGCTGGAATGAATTTCTGGCTCATGCTTACTGAGCTGCTGCCTGACCTCAGTTATAAGCAGGCTGGGAGGAATGAACTGGTGTGGGTATAATTCAAGTAGAAATTGGCCCCTGATCTACTGACTTTAAATAACAGCAGAAGATGGAGTGATGTCTAGTGGGAAAATGGCAGCAAGCAGCCAGATTTTTCTACTCGTGGTGCTGCTGCTGATCCGCAGATTGATTTGAATGTAATTGTGCAAAGCTGCCCAAATGGGTGTAACAGCAGTGCATGGGAACATCTGCCGTAAACTAATATTTCGTCATGTGCATTTGAGTCACTCGGTTAAAAACCTCTCTCTGTGTTTTTTAAGTCCTTGGACGTTGACCCGTTACCGACCAAATTACATTATGACAAGTCCCACGACCAAGTCTGGGTGCTTAGCTGGGGGGACATGCGCAAGTCCTCACTGACGCTGCAGGTGAGTCCGTACACGCCTGAGCCTCTGCCCTTCCTTGGCTTGGCATCGTCAGCAGCAAGCTGGGGGCTGGTTGGTTGGAGGTAATTAACAGCATTTAATGGTCTGGATATAAAGCTGCGCTTTCATTTACATATCCAGTGTGGTTCATTTATCCCTCCTCCGTCCATCCTCACATATTTTTCCTGCTGTTTAATTTGTTTTCGAGCAATGACTGCGCCGTAGGCTGGCAGCAGGACTGCTTTGTTGCCAGGGTCTGTTTGTTGGAAGGCTGACGACGGAGCCAAGTGCTGTAAAGTCCTACCACAAGGGCTGGCAGCTGACTGCGAGTGGTACGAGCCTGCGATGCTCCAAGTCATTTGTGCAGCCCGCGTGTGCTTTTTAACGTGATTGAAGTCTAAAAGCAGTGGGTGCCAAGAAGCCACGAAGAGTGTAGTTCTGCATAGAAATCTGTTACTCTCCAGGCTACCAGTAGTATTTCATCAGAGGTGCAACTCAGGCTGAGTGACACCTTGGAGGATGAGCCTGAGAGCGTGTTCACTGCAGAGCTCCACCCTTCTCAGACGTTCAGATGACCTGCAAGTTTTTGTCTCTGCAAAGAATTTGGAGGCATTGCATATAAAAGAAGCATTAAAAGGTGCATGAACTGTCCGTTGCTTCAAGATTCACACATCTTTCAGGATTATTAGCCTTGCACCCTTGTTATGCGCTGAGCAGAACCACCCTGTTCTCCAGTTTGGTCAAAGCATTTACCTCTTCCTCTCTTCCATATAGGAGAAGCCCAGGTTTTCTGCCAGCGCACTAAATAGCTGCTTATTTTCCTGAAGCTCATTTTACCGCTTGTCTCTCACAAGCCTTCAGCCTCCTGTTGGATGACAATGGAGCATAACGTGGTAGAATTGTTCCTTTCCTAGTAAAATGCAGAAAAGATTCTCTAGGCCGTGGAAAAAAAGCATAAACTGTAAAACCTCAGGGACAAATTCTGCCATTAGGTGGCAGTGACTGCGCTGGAGGGCTGCCAGTGAGGTCCCTGGAGCTGCTCCGTGCTCAGCACCGTCAGACCCACGGTGTGTTGGGCTCTCTGGGGCACCGTAATGCACATAGGTTTGGACAACTAAATTAGCTTCTGTTTCTGGATTGCCCTGGAGGATTCGCTCTTCAGTTGACAGTACAGAAACACCAAGTGCAGGCATCTAATTGGGCGTTTTGCTGCTGCCATATGCCATTTGACAAGAGTTGGAACCAGGGCTGATTTGATCTATCCAGACTTACATTTCTCTAGTACTTATTTTCCAGCTCTTGCTGTCCAACCTTTCTGGAAACGGAGGTGTCATGTGAATACGCCTTCTTCCAGAAATGTTTGCTTCTGAGTCTACATTAAAGCAGTCAGAGAAGGACGGCTGTGCTTTCTGACCTAAAAACCTACAAATCTGGAGGCTTCGCTGGCCATGGGGTTGACCAAAGCTTCGCTGGAGATGCTTCCCCGTAAAGGTGGGACGAGCCATCCCCACCTGCCACATGTTCCATTCAAGGTAACAGCTGCAGGCTTTCAGTAATAAAGAATGGACCAGCAACTCAGTATGGGTGTTTTCAGGAGAAGACACCAAAACCGGAATGGGGGCAAAAAAACGAAGGTTTCCGAGGCAGTGCCACCAGCTCGTCCCACCTGGGGATGAGCAGTTGCCTGTGCAGGGTATAAGGAGACAAAATGGGCTCTCTTTACCCTTTCTGGCTTAATTTCCTCCATCCAGCTGTGAGAGGTTTCTGTAATTAAAGGAGAGATGGCACAAGCATGTGATTATTAAGAAGAACACACCATCTGCACAGTTGGAAACTTGTTATAAGGCTCCAGCTCTCAGACGGTCTTTTTGTTATCTTTATGAAGTGCAGTTACACACGAGGAGAATGAGATTAGCAGCAGCAGCAGCAGATCTTTGCTTTTTCCCGACCTTCTTTCCCGAAGGGGGGGCAGTGACTAATTTGGCGAAGTTCGTTCTTGAAACCCGCAGTGGATAGTTGCAGACATGCAATAAAATATCTCTTTTAACAAAGATGCTGCTGCAGAGGTTCTCTGGAAGCCAGGGATTTATCAAGGAGCTGACTGATGGGATGCTGCTGTTTAACCCGTGGGAAGCAAATGTGTGGCCTTGTGAAAGCACTCTGCAAGAGGGGGCATCTTTCCTGAGCAATCTAATTGGAAGAAATACAAATGACATGGCCAGAAGAGCTGTCTGAACTAAACCTTGCAGGGTTTTAGCATTTCCTTAATGAAAGACCTGGCTATAAATTCAGAGCAGCCACATTAGAGCAGTGGAAGTTCCTGAGGAATCAGCTAAAGTCGTCTTGAAGCGAGGAAGGAGTTTGAGTGTTTAACACCTTAATTATTGAAAACTTCTGCCTCTCCTTCCCGGAGCAGTGGAGGAGCTGAGTTTCTGTGGCCGTGAAGGTGTGGGCTGGGCAGGAGGACAGGATGGTGGGGAACAGCCAAAGGGCCTTTCTGTGCTCCTCCCTGAATTTTATACCCTACGGCGGATGGATGAACAATTCCTGTCCTTCAAAGCGATAATTAACTACTGTGAGCTACTGTTTGATCCCTCAAGCTGGCAAATTATCACTGTGCATTTAATTGAGATTAATAAACGTGGCCATGAGATAAATATTTGTTTTAGACGGTGAGGAATAAATGATGATGGTCTTAGTGTTGTCACATTACTTCAGCTCCTGCATGCCTGCTCTTTCTCGAGATATAAACATCTTACGAAAGTCAAGTTGTGTACTTGCCTTACAAATGTCAAGCCTCAAATACTGTTTATGAGTACACTTTTTTCAAGACAGCTATAGCAAACAATATTTTGAAGTCATTAATCAATCTGAGCCTACTATATCCCTGGGAAAAGCCACTTGGGGCCGTGTACAACTGTGTAATCCGTATTTACCTTTCTGCCTTGCTCGCTGCTCTTTCTGCACTCAACCTTGTGTGTATTTGTTTTAGGTAATACCAGAGGCAAGTGCAGGGGAGGATCAGCACGTTATCCGCGCACCGTTTGAAGGAGTGGAGGACTTTTTCATACCGCCTACAAACCTTATTATTAATCACGTTAGGTAAGAAATGATCTTAACGAATAGCAGCGGTGACCACCCTGCTCTCTTCTAGCAGGCAGCCTTCTAACAGTCTTACAGCACACATGTGAACGAATGAGTTCATGATCAAGCCGATTACTCTAATCCCCATTTTCACGTGTGAAATGGAGAAACAGTTGAGCAAATTACCAGTAGGTATTCAGTGAAACAGCAAGAAGCAGGCCTGGACTTCCCTTAGCAAAGTAAGACACACTGCCCTGGCTTGCTCATGACAGGAGTTTGATGGGCAGAAAGTTGTCTTCCCCACCTCATAACCACTTCATGGATTTGGGCAGAAACCTCTGTCAAAGATGTGTTCTGGTGTCCCCATGATGAGAGGGATGTGGATCTGTTGGAACGAGTCCAGAGGAGGCCACAGGGATGATCCAGGGGCTGAAGCAGCTCTGCTGTGAGGACAGACTGAGGGAGCTGGGGTTGTTCAGCTGGAGAAGAGGAGACTCCGGAGGCACCTTATCCCTGCTGCAGTGCCTGAAGGGACCTACAGGGAGGCTGGGGAGGGACTTTGTACAAGAGTGTCCAGCCACAGGACAACGGGAAATGGATTTAAGTTAATGGAAAATAGATTTGAATTGGATCTTAGGAAAAAATTCTTCAGTACAAGTGTGGCAACGCTCTGGAATAAATTGTCCAGAGGAGTTATAGATGACCCCTCCCTGGAGGTATTCAAGGCCATGGTGGATGAGGCCCGGAGCAACCTGGGCTAGTTGAGAGACATCCCTGCCCATGGCAGGGAATTGAATTAGATGATCTCTGAGGTCTCTTCCAACCTAAGCCATTCTAGGATTCTATGTGTTGCCTGAAGTGGTGAAAGTTTATTTTGTCTGAAGCATAAAGCACGGTTCTTCCACGGGTGTCCAGCTTGTTCAAATATCAGATCTCTGCGTGAGGTGTACGGTTTGAGCAGAGGTGCTGCGTGTTAAAAAAATACAACACCTCTATGAACCATCAGTTTAGAATGTTAATGTGATGTGGTGGTTAATGAGAAGGTATAACTAACATACTAATAACTTGGAGCATTACTGACAGATTCCCAGCAGGCACAGGAAGCTTCCCATTAACATTAACAGAACTGATGATAACTGCACAGCAATTTATACTGTTCTTAGCATGTTAAGACCTTCTTAACCATCTTCTGTCCTCAGCCTAGTTTAACCAAGTTGAACTTTCAGAAAAATCGTAACGTAACTCTTTACATTAATCTTAAGTTCCCTGCAGCAAAGGCTGAGGACAGAATGGTCCCACTGAACAGATTGCATCTTGAATCAAATCCAAAATAAGTAACTTTGCTTTCCTGAAACACAAAATAATGGCTGTCACTTTTAATTTTTCTCTACCTCATTTTTCCAGTTTGCTTTCAATATATTGTTATGACCAGTAGTAGTGGCAGGAGGTAACTCACTCTGCTGAATGTTAAGGCTTGAGATGAGAAGGTATGGTCTGGGTTCAGAGAGAACCCACTTTTTTGTTGTTTTATTGTCTTTTTGCTTCACTGTGATTAATGGGCTGTGTATAGAGGATCTTCTTTAAGAAGTATTAAGTGTAGATAATCACCTCTAGTTTTCCATGTGCAAAGCCAAGAATGCTTTGCCTAATTCCTGATTTCATTTGTTCAGGACCAGATCTTTGTCCGTTCTCTCTCACTCTCAGCACAAAGTTAATTGCTCACAGTTTAATGAGACTTACTGAGAACATGTTCTGAATTCTCCACGCAGAAACAATAAAAGGCAATACCAGCATTTCCCAGGAAGGTGAATATTTAAGCAATCTCTTCTGCAAGCCAAAAAATATTTGTATGCAAATGCTGCTGCATATGGATTTCAGCTGCCTGTTATTTCAGATGGATATCTGGGAATGTATCCATTTTTATTAGTTCCCAGGGTAGATTGTTGTCTATTAAAAACTCTCTAAGTGCTAGGTTTTCTTTGAGGTTTCAGATCTCAGATTTCATGCAGGCGCTGCTTCTCTTTTGCAGCTGTGTGCGCATCATCCGCATTCTGACCCACTTTTTAAAATTGAAGTTTATGATAAGAAGCATTTTTTAACTTCTTCAGGCATTTGGCCAAGTATTGAGGAAGTCTTGGGGAAAAAAAAAAAACCACCACACTGTAAGGGAAAGCGTTTTTTTAGAGTGTACTTAAAATACATTCATCCAGGAGAAGTGCAAGTGTCATATCCAATTTCCCCACACACACTGAGCTACGAATCTCCACTGCAGATATTTTCTGAAGTCTCTAATGGATGTGAGTATAATGGAAAAATGAAAGTCTTACCCCCATGATTTTCATGGAATCATACCCTACATTGGCTGGTTCTTTAGAAGCGAAATCATTGCTGAGTGTCTCATTGACAGATGAATTAAGAATAAAGAAATAAACCCAGTGTTTTAAGGAAAATATATATTATCTGCAGGCAGGCATGTTGTCCTCCACATTTCACGAAGCGATTTTACATCTTCGGGGGAAGGGATGCAAAGCTGAGTACTCGCTTCATTTCCTTCTGCCTGCACTGAATGGATGAAAAAATCCTCGGTGTAAAATTAGTTTTCCTGAGCCAGTATCAGTGACCTGTGAATCCAAGGGAACACAAACAGGCTGTTTCTGTGGGCTCCCACTCAAATTAAGCAGAAACCTTTCTTGGCTATTCTTGACCTTTTCTCGTCTTCAGCAAAGGTCAGATGTGCTGCAGCATATATCTTTCACGGAACGTTTATTCTCTGCTCGCTGCTGTCTGCCCTCTCTTGAGACGGAAAGGAAAGACCCCTTTGCTTCAGCGCACCCTCTGTTCCTCGAGAAATGTTTTACGCTTTACCTCGGCTGTGATTTCAGATACGAGGTTGGACGTGGTCTTCTTTCAGTGGTTGTACAGAGTGCTCCAAGTCCCTCTCTGGCCCCAGCCTGGCAGGGGTATGCTTTATTTTGGATGGTTTTCTATTTTGGGATTGTAGAAGGCTTCAGTATATGTTGAATATATATTCAATATATATTGAATTACATCTCTCTAGGCCTGAAACAGATTAAATACAAAGCTGGTCAACAGTCGCCTATGGAACACCCGAGCCTTGATGTCATTCCTATTGTCAGTCGGTCTTCCCAACAAAAGATTTCAGTGTATATTCAAGCTTCTGGGATCAGGTTGCTAATTTTAACTGAAATATAGACCTCCTTTTAGCACGTTTTAGAAGCACTAAAATGAGAGAGGGGTTTCTTACAGAAAAGAGACAGCATTATTGGAGATCTTCTGAAGCCAAGAGGGTAGAGCTTCCTAGATCTGCTGCCTCTTGTCATTTCTCAAGCGTATCACCACATCTCCGGAGGTGACTTCAGTGTCGTGTTTCTGTTCCAGGTTTGGCTTCATCTTTAACAGATCGAAATCCGCAGTTCACAAAATCGACCTGGAGACTGTGACCCACATCAAGACGATCAACTTCAAGAACCGCAGCTGCCTCCCGCAGACCATGGCTTACACCCACCTGGGTGGTTACTTCTTCGTCCAGTGTAGGAGGAGCAGGTCGGGGGCTGCGTCGCCGCAGCTCATTATTGACAGCGTCACCGACGCCGGCGACGTGTCGGGCACGCCTTACGTCTCGCCCGACGGACGCTACTTGGTCAGTGCCGACGAAGACAGCGGCAGGCTCAGAGTCCAGGTTTTCACCGTCCGAGGGGAAATCGAGTTGATTTATGACTTACAAACGAACATACACGTATCTGATCTGACATTTCAACCCTCTTTCACCGAAGGCAATCAGTACTATATATACGCGACTTCGCATTTGCAAACAGATGTGCTTTTTGTAGAGCTGTCAACGGGGAAAAGAAATGTACTGAAGAATTTAAAGGACCCTATCACATCCAAAGACTGGCCCTGGAGCAGCTACAACAGAATTATGAAAGACAGTGGGTTATTTGGACAGTATCTCATTACACCAGCTAAAGATTCATTGTTTGTTATAAACGGGAGGCAAAATACGTTACGCTGTGAGGTTTCAGGTATAAGGAGGGGTAACACAGTGGTCTGGGTTGGAGAGGTATGAAAGGGCAGTAGCAGTAGAGCCTTTGGCGGGCGAGTACCGGTTGGACCTTTACACTGCAGCAAACGAGCAGTAGCATTGTATATTTTTACACTGGGGAAAAAAAAACACAAAAGCAAAAAACAAAAAAACCCTGTATAGGCTTCATGGTACAACACTGGTCTACTTGCAAGTTTTCTAATATAAGGTGTGCTCTGCTAATAGGAAGTGATTTTGAAGGGATACTTTTTATTTGGGGGTATGATTTGCGGTTATGAGAAAAACGCTGGGAAGCAAAAAATATCTCCACCGAGAGATCGAATAAGCCACGAAACCAGATTTTCAGTTTCCGTACTGAGGAGCTTTTATGTTACGTTCAAGCCATCAGTTTTCTTTCCTCTCTCCCTTGCCCGTTAGCTGTGCTGGCTCCCCAACCCCAACACAGAGGGACTGCGAGAGCCGCGGCTGCAGTCAAACCTCACCTTCGGATGACGAGGGAAGCTAAGCTTCAGAGAGCAGTTTCCAACCCGCCGAAACCTAGGAGAGTGATTTGATGAGAACTGATCAGTTTTCAGCTTTGGGAGGGTTCACGGATGCGATTTCAGGAGGGGGCGTAACAGAAATAGTAACTGTCAGCTCGCTTTCTTCTGCGCTTAATTTTGCTCTTGGTACTACTGAAGGCAATGTTACGAGTCCTCCCCTCTTCTACTGCATATTTGTATGATCATATTTGAGAAATTTGGCATGAAATATCCAGGCCATTAGAGTGAGTAAAAGCCAGGAAACACTGAAGGGAGGGGTCAGAGTTTGCAAAAAATTTTACTGAGAAGGGGGCATTAGTCTTTGAACAGCTTGTGAGTGCGGTCAGCTTGGGCAAAACACGCAAAAATCTGCTCTTTAGGGGCAGAGGATTGGTTACAGTTCTTCCCATAGGAGGCAGCAAGACTTCTAGAGATTGTTGGTTTCTCTCATTAAATATTTAGTAGCACTAAAGTTGCTTGGTTCTTCGTAAGATAATAGCTATGATGATAGAGGGTATTTTTAATAGAAAACTCACTCATTTTCTAGTTGTAGCCTTAATTTGCCTATTTCTTTTCAGACATCCTGGGAAACGTTTTTTCTTTGTGACTTTTTTTTTCTTCCCATTTATGGCACACTTGTTTATAGTCAATTATCTTTTAGTTATGAGCCAAGAGATTCGTGTAAAACCAGCTGTATTACCCTAGAACACAACAGCTGGCGTAGAGAAATTCCGGTCGAGCTCCCGTAAAAATACAGGTCTGTTTGCGGTTTTGGAAGACATAAAAACTTTTCTAGTTGCATTTTTGTAGCTTTCTGTATCCATCACCGTGAAGTAATCGGGGCAGGAGCAGCAAAGCGAGTGGTGCAGACCAGGTGGGCAGCCCTGCCACCGTGATCGGCCACATCCGAGCAGTTGTATCTTCAAGTGTGGTCCTGAGGTGGGTGGAAACTCTTTCAGAAGGTGAACATCTGTTACACCAGTGCCACCCTTTTGAAAGACCCAGCTCGCTTTGCAAATGACCTTGTTGGCCAGAGTTTTTATGAAATCAGCTGTTGAACTTGTCCGGTGACGTGTGGTGGCGCAGTAATTTATTTTCCAACACGAATGCTTAAAGTCACCCATTTCACGATGTACACAGAGCGATTTTGAAAGGAGAAGGATGCAGACTAACACTGGTAATCTTCTCTTCAAATGTTAAACTTTACCAAAATCAGTCGCATTTTAGCCTAGCTGTAGACCTGAAGTAATGTAAACCATTTCGGTTCTATAGAGAATATATAAAAAATCTGTTCAGGCAGACGACGAAGGGGAGCTGAATCCTATGAATTCATTAAACATGGAGTCCTTGAAATTGCCCTTCAACACCCACAGGCTGAAACCTCCATCTCTTTACACTTATGAGCCATAGGGGTTAGAAGAGACTATCCCATCATTGCAACACAAAACCATAAAAAACAGATTGGCATAGCCTTCCTTCAGCAATGCATGGTGTCCGTGGTTTTCTACTCATCTGCTTAGGACACATACCCATGTCAAGGAAAGGAGAAGACCAGCTTTGTAAGTACCTTTAAATATGCACAACTCCTTTCTTGAACAAAGCTGTATCCATACATTGCGGTCATCCTAAATGTGTTTTACCAAGGCCAAACACTGCTCTTGTGTTATCTTTTATGACTTCTTGAATATTTTGTTATGCCTATGGTAAGTTTCCCTGTAGAGACGTCCATTGTGTCATAGATCGAACAAATATTACTTTTCTAAGAATATTCAAAAAAAAGAAAAGAAAAAACGACCCTGTATATATCTGTTCAGGTAAATATTCTTGAGGCTGGTTTATATATAGGCTGTGAAAGATGTGTAACAGACCTCACTTCTTCCTGTTTGTCGCAAAATATTGGAATAGAGTTCACTTGAAAAAAAAAATCCCACTTGGACCTTCCAAAGATGTTCCCTTTCTTCCCTCTTCAGCCCAAGTTCTGGTGATGTGTTTTCTACATTATCCTAATGGTTATATATCATACTTAGAAGATGAAGTACAATTTAGATTGTCCACACTACTTGTGAACAGTTCCAGTGAGAGTCAAATCTGACATTAAAGTGCTGCACATTTGTTACTCTGATTTTACTTTTTTTATGACGCTGAAATTTTCTATGTACTCAAAAAAATGTTTCGACTCATTTTTGCCTTTCAACTCTGTGAAGAAGAGACCATGTTTCTTTGTTTGCAGTTTCTTTCCCACTCCCTTGCGGTTCTCCACCAGTTCACAATTAATTAATCACAGTGATTAATTGAAATGAATTTGAATTGAATTAATGGCCATTTAGTTAGCCTATAACACTCATACATCAGCTGAGTCTTCTGACACTAGAATTGCAGACAAAATAGTCCCTGCTTGGCAGTAAGACTCTAGCCCCAAGGTCAGATGTATTTTCCATTCATCGTTGAGGTTAAACAGCAGGAGAATGGAAACACTGCTTCCTGTCTGTATTTCCCTCAATATTTTCATTTTCTGAATGAAAGATTTTACTTAACATCTTTACCTATGCGGTTCAGTGACTAGTGAGAAACCGCCCACTTTTAAATTGGAGAAAAAAACCTGCTGAGTGCCTTAATTTGGAATCCATGGCAATAATTAACATATCCTTACCATTTAATATTTGGGGGGGGGGGTATGTTTTTATTTTTTTAGCACTAGGGAAAAAAAATAAATCAAGAGAAGTCCCAAAAGATTCCAGTGGGCGGAAGTGGGCATGTCTGGAGTTGGGTGGGAGACGGGGAGGGGGAGATCACGGCGGGCTCTGCGACTGGGGTGGCTTCGTGAGCTCCAGACACACACAAGTCCCAATGACCTGTCTGCGAGTACTTCTTTAACTTGATTTATACTGTGATTAGGTCTTTAATTACTAGAGCGCCCGGTGGTGTGCTGGGCACTGCATGAAGCAGATAAAAAGGCCAAGAGCTCAATTCTGACAGGAGATAACAGCTAATTCCCCATATGACCCTACAGCAGGTCAACAAAATGAGCAGCAAGTTGGGAGCTGAGGCTGGGGGAGACGTCGGTGTGGGGGTGAGAACAACAGCCTGGTTATTCCTCGAAGATACAGGCATCGGAGCACACCTGTATGTTGTTTTTCCTAAGACCGCCTTTGGCCCTCCTCATTCAAGGCTTTATTCTGAGTGAACGCACCCAGGGTTACGTGCACAGACTTTGCTCTTCGTTGAACCCCTGGGGCCGGACCACTCAGCCCCACCAGGGATCTCCTGTCCTGTGACACTGCGATGTAGACACAGCTCCTGCCCTGTCCCCCTGCTGCCGCTGCCCTGCTTCCCCCATCCCTGCTGGAGCAAGAGCTTGCCATTTATTTTATTTTTTTCCCCCTTGTTACGTTTTGAAGCAGGCTGAAATAAAACACAGGGAAATCTGGAGACCAGGAATTCCTGTGTGTTTCTTTTATATAAGAGATGGTGCAGTGTTATTTATTGTTGGGGATGGGATGGATTCCCAGCCAGGCACCGCAAGCCCAATACTAACTTTAAAAATAAATAATAAAAAAGAAAAAAGAGCCCTGCTGTGGTGCTTCTGCCATGCAAACAGGCCTAGAGGCTTGTTTAATTAAGCACTTCAGCATCCAGCCCTTGATAGTCTATGGTGTCGTTGACACTTGTCCAAAGCCATCAGACGAAGACAGCGAGCCAGCTGCACCTGGTAAACAAGACAGGCACTAAATCAAACAAGAAGCCCATCCCAATTTACAAAGGTCAGAGCACTGGCATTTCCAGAAGTAAAACACGACATTCCCTGGTCAGCGAAGGTTGCAGCGTGACAGCCACATCGCTCTCAGCCCAACTCAACAGCCGACTGCTTTCCAGATACTCTTTACAACAGGGTGCGATGAGGGCTGGCATTTAACCATCCTGCAATCATGGCAATCCTTACCTGAAGAGGAGGGAGGGTTGTTAATGTTTTATTTAAGGCCACAGTAAATTCAGTGTTAATTGACTTCCAGAAGGCGAAGGGCAGTTCCCGGGTAGGAAAGTGCATCGTTTCTGCAGAGAGTTTGCTTCAAGACCTTGCAAAGCCTGATATGAGACGGGTCAGGCAGGGAGACCAAGCTTCTCTGCTTTCTTGAGGCAGCACCAACCAAGCTGGAAAACATCAGCTAGGACTGTTTAGTTTTTGAAACAACTGTATTATTTCCAAATTTTGACCCTCGTCTGTTTTAGCACAGCTGTACCCTGCAGGCCACTACCTACTATCCTTAATGTACTACATGTACCAACTGTGCCTACCACAAGCTCTTTCTGAGTGTTAAAAACACCCTGTTGCACAGACAATTCAATATCATAAACTCATTCAGGTTGGAAAAGCCCCTTGGGATCATCGAGTCCAACCATGAACCCTACTCTACAAACCTCAGCCCTAAACCATCTCCCCCAACCCCACATCTCAAGGACCTTTAAACACCTCCAGGGGTGGGGACTCAGCCCCTCCCTGCCCAGCCTGTGCCAGTGGCTGACTACTCTCTCTGCAAAAAATTTTTTTCCTAATGTCCAGTCTAACCTCCCCCGTTGCAGTTTGAAGCCGTTCCC